AGGAAGTTTTTAAAACGGTTAATGGGGTAATTTAAGGCCTCCATGATAAGATTACGATATCACGCACGCCACATCTTTCTTAGTCAACGATCTACCACGTTGTGCCACGCTTATCAAATAATTGACCAATGAATGCATGGTTCACTCTATGACATGCAATTATCTTTATCCACAGTAAGTTATCTCATTCCACCCGCCTTGAAAACCACATTACTCTGCTGAAGAAGATAACATGTACATACGCGCCAAACTAAAATCGCACACAGAAATGCAAATTCTGCAGAAAGTAAAGAAAACAGAATAAGTACTTTGACAAATTTAACATTAATGGATCGGTACGAGCCAGAAAAATGATAAAAGTCACGGTAAACCATCCAAATTAGGTACGCAAAGGAAATAGCTAAAACACGTATCAAGATCAGCCCACCCTAATCGTAGTTGGCTCCGGAATAATCAAGAAGTGCTTATCTGATCTTTCTGACCTCGTGAAGCAACAAGTGGTTTTTAACGTTTATTTTTTTTTTCTACTTCACACTCGAAAATTTCTATTATCTTTATTTATGAAATAATTATTGTATCCAGGAAAAGTGAAGTAACATGCAGAGAAAGTCAAAAATATCTAAAAGAACGCAAATATGCCTTACGGCTAAAGAATTATGAAACAAATGGATGCATTTACACTCCTTCATGAGCGTAAAATTTTTTTCATGCGAGGTAATAAAAAAACTGGCATTTGGTATGTTTTCATAAGCCTTGAACTGTGTTGTTCCACAACTGGAATCACTATCACCAACATCTACAATTCCGCACTAGTACACGAAAAACCAATTTCGCTCATTTGACCGTGGCCTTAATCACACTTAAAACAATGCCTTAAACACGTGTATTTTTTTTTTTTTTTAAACTTCTAATTCACACGGATCAGTATCCATCTGCACTCAAATTTTCTTATAAGCAGCTTTGTTTCTCTTCATGTTTCGTGATGTTTCTCTTATTTTACAACTCTCTGTGCAATACATACTACATTCCTCATTTCCAAGGTACTTTAGTCAAAAAGCAAGCTATAAGTCGTCACGGAAAGGGGATTTTCTAGTAATGGTAAAGAAAACAGAAATTAACAGTTCGACATTTGATAGACACGAGGCAGTAATGTGATAATGGCCTGCAAAGGAAATAAACCTTTGCCACCAAAGGGAAGCTGGTACATTATCAACCACGCTGATCGCATTATCGTAATCGAATATTAAATTTCTTAGTCTTTTGTAACTAACCTCGCACAGCAACAAGAAGTTTAGGTTTTTAAGGAAGATTCTTGACATCATAACTACTCCAATGAAAATTGAACTGACATGGAAATTGATTAACATGCAATAGAACGTTTTCAGATTAAACGGCAGATGCGTTTACACTTCTTTGTTTCTCTACAAGACCACAATACGTTTTAAGGAAGGAGGTTTTCGGAAGTAATGCACCGCCTCTGCCATTAATTGTATAATAGGGCAGGATGTAAATACATTTTTTTGGTGATATCCCGTGGATGGAGATCATATAAACGGAGCAAACGATTCCCAATTCATTCAATCATTAGTTTGGTCTAAACACAAGCAATAGCAGTGGTCGTTAGAAGTAGCTGTAACATGAAAACTTCAACCAGGGTTTGGATTCTATGTTGCTTTTTAATTTTGTCTTCTTCTGTCCAGTTCTCAAGCGCATTTATCTCCAACAAAGTTGGTAGAAGGACTTTTAAGGTAGGTATTAAATAATATATATTTTATCTCAGAGAAATTGTGGGATGATTGACAACGTTTAGTAGCGATAAAATAAACTCAATTGAAACGTGTCTTAAATTTAGAGGCATCACCCTTACTTAAGGGAAAATAAATTTATTTTATGAACAACTTTTTTTTTCTTTTTACTTAACCCGTTCTTTACTGTTTCACTGACCACTTTTACCTCCATCGCAGTTACATTATATAAGCTGATAAATTTCAGTACAGTTTTAAGCAATACCTTGACTTCGTGAGAACACTTCTCATTAAACACCCTCTTTGGTTCAATCCTTATAGTATGACAGAGATATTCAACCAATCTGCCAGTTCGCCTCCGAATATTGTGGTGTCCTGAGACATGAGCTGCAGTCACGTGACACAACTGGTGATGCGAGGCCGAAGGAAAGGGACATTATCCATGAATGAAAATAGCTAAATCAACGCCGCCCACGCCACCATCGAATAAAATTGTACATGTTACTTTTGTAAATCATCGTTAAAGGAAGAGTTTAAGTTTATTTAATTTAATGACGGAATAAAAAGCTGGTTCATGATTGCAAATCATTTTGGAGGTTTTATTTATCACGATTAGGAGTAAGCAAATTTATTGGGCCACTGACTTAACGATGAATTTTAAGGTAGTGCAACGGTGCGGCATGTTGATTACTTGCCTTAACGGCTCGTAATTAACAAGGGTTTTGTAACTGACGAGGATTTCCCGTGTTCTCCTCCGCATCCTCTTCCCTCTATATAAATTCCCCAAGCCTTAGTCTCCTCTCTTTGCAGCATTAGACTTACATTCACTCCCAGTCTACTGAATAACACCTTTTCGCTCGGAAACGCTTGGTTGAGGGTCTGAATGGGGGGGTCAAAATGTCGGTTGTCGGTTAAAATTTCATTACTTTGTCGGTTTTCGGTTAAGATTTTTGACCTTTGTCGGTTGTCGGTAAATCTCAGTTAATAATTAAAAATACACGGTTTCTTTTACCAATGCTACAATAAGACGGCGCGAACATTGGTTGTCTTGGTTTATTTTTAAAAATACATTTTAGCC